AGTCTTGCTCTGCAAGTCTGCCTCCACCTCCGCAAAAGAATTGTAGCTAGGATTGGAACAGCCTGAACTTAGCAATCAACCCAGCCTTCCTCGCGTCCTCTTCCATCTGCTTCTCAAGTGACACACGTAACTCCTCAAGACGCAACCAAGGCTGTCATTACCATGTCCAGCATTTACATCAACCGCCACGAAACTATTCCAACGTTGTGAGTCTACGAATTTATGAAGTTGGCCTTCTCCGACTTCAAATCGCTGCTCAGCTTGTTGATGCTCTCCTCTGCCTGGCAGAAATCTGTGTGGCACATGCAACTTGCCAACCACGATGGCACATCAGCCTGGCTCTTTCATCCTGGATGCTTGACAATGAAACAAAAACCTTTGTGTTTACACTCTTTGCACCTCCTTGCGCACGACAGATATCTGGCTCTCAAGCTTGCGCTTCTCAGCCTCATGAACTGCAGGCATGCATGGGTCATTCTTATGAGCCTTACAAACGGCATGAAAGCGCAACATTCACAAAGCAAGCGCGCTGGCGCTGCCTTCAGAAGTCTAGCTTCTTCGTCAGCAGCCGAAGTCTTGTTCTGCAAGTCTGCCTCCACCTCCACAAAAGCATTGTAGCTAGGATTGGAACAGCCTGAACTTAGCAATCAACCCAGCCTTCCTCGCGTCCTCTTCCAGCTGCTTCTCAAGTGACACACGTAACTCCTCAAGACGCAACCAAGGCTGTCATTACCATGTCCAGCATTTACATCAACCGCCACGAAACTATTCCAACGTTGTGAGTCTACGAATTTATGAAGTTGGCCTTCTCCGACTTCAAATCGCTGCTCAGCTTGTTGATGCTCTCCTCTGCCTGGCAGAAATCTGTGTGGCACATGCAACTTGCCAACCACGATGGCACATCAGCCGAGCCTAAACAACATCTTACTGTAGTGTTTAGGGCTCTTTCATCCTGGATGCTTGACAATGAAACAAAACTCAACCCTGTGTTGTGTTTGACCTCTTTGCGCCTTCTTGCGCACGACGGATATCTGGCTCTCAAGCTTGCGCTTCTCAGCCTCATGAACTGCAGGCATGCATGGGTCATTCTTATGAGCCTTACAAAGCGCATGAAAGCGCAACATTGACAAAGCAAGCACGCTGGCGCTGCCTTCAGAAGTCTAGCTTCTTCGTCAGCAGCCGCAGTCTTGCTCTGCAAGTCTGCCTCCACCTCCGCAAAAGAATTGTAGCTAGGATTGGAACAGCCTGAACTTAGCAATCAACCCAGCCTTCCTCGCGTCCTCTTCCATCTGCTTCTCAAGTGACACACGTAACTCCTCAAGACGCAACCAAGGCTGT